AATTAAAGGGTTATATTAGTAAAAGTGATGCTAAAATACCTAAGTTAGCTAAATAATATTTATGGAATACCCGAACCTGGATTATTAATTATTAATATATCAATATTATTTGTCCAAACCTAATTACGAAGCATGATTCTTCGCCAAATAGGATTCCGAAGCACCAGAAGCAGCCACGTAGGCTCAACGCATTCGGGAATTATATATAGGGAAGATATATTTTTTTTGTAAAAAAGTAAACTAAATTTAACATAGTTTCTCATTAATTTTAAAATTTAAAAATAATTTTTTAACAAGCACCCGTGTAATACATGGGTGTTGTACTAGTTGTAAAATATACTAAAATTATGTATTTTAAGTAAGTAAATTAAAGAGCGGGTTACCGAATAAAACAAAGAAAGGAAAAGAAAAGAAAAGAAAAGAAAATAAAATAAAAATGAAAAGGAAAAAGAAAATTAAAGGGCTTGCTAGAATGTGTTAGAAGTAGGGATGAGCGTGAGTCGGTACGGTTCGAAGATTGATAAATTTCCAGAACCGTACCAAACTCCGGAGATCCCAAAATTTGATATCCGGAACCGTACCAAAAAGTCGGTTCGGTTCGGTTCAGAGATTTTTATTTTTCGGTTCGGTTCTGTTCGGTATTCGGGACTATTGGGACGGTTCGGTTCGGTATGGTTTGGTTCGGATCTTCGGAGATTTTTTATTTTTTGAAATTATTTTTGAATGACTACCTAGTTATATTTTAATTGTTATATGCTTTAAAAAAAACATTCATCAATAATTCATCATATTAAAGATTTTATTTTGAAATCAATTCTAGAAGTAACTCTAAATTTTAGTTATTTAATTTTTATATGTTTTAATGAAACCAACATTCATCAGTACTTCATCACATTAAAAATTTTATTTTGAAATCAACTTTATAAGTAACTCTAAATTGTAGTTATAACTAAATTTGTGCAACTAATATTGAAAATTTAAAATTCAAATAAAATATAATATTTTTTTCTTAAATAAATATTCTTTAAACTTTCATATTATTTTAAATAATTATTTATAATAGAAAAAATTCAATTGTAGATCAAGTATTACTAAGCATGAAATTTAAGTGAAGGTTTATATTTGTTATTAGAATCAAAGTTGAGATAAAATATATTAATAACACATCTAATGTTATAATTCGGTTCTTAATTTCGGTTCTCGGTACAGATATTTGTGAAATCCCCAAAACCGTACCAATTATTTTTTCGGTTCGGTTCGGTTAGGAGAAAGTCAAACGGTCAACAGTTATTTTTCGGTTCGGTATTCGGAACGGTTCGAAATTCTTCGAGTCCCATGCTCAGCCCTAGTTAGAAGTAGAGCATCTCTAATGGCATGCTGTCTATTTATTACTGCATGGCATGGAAAAATGAGATTAAGGAATTGTGTTTCCAATGATTAATGTGAAATATGGTTTAATTTGGCACCTGCAAAATTATAATTGGTTAGAAAATATAGAAAAATTGAATAAACAATATAATATATAATAGAAGTTGTCTAGAAGTTCTTCTACATCTAGAAAGATTTCTATAATTTTTTTATGCCACGTACATTTTCTTGTGCCATGTAGTAATATAATATAACAATCCACATACCATTGTAGATGCTACTATGTTTGGTAGACAAATAAGCTAGCTTATAGCTTATTGGGTTAGATTATAAGCTTCGTTGCTAGTTTTTTTACATAAGGATCTTTGGGTAATTTTTCAAATAAGCTCGTTGACATTTTTATTTCATCTATCTTATCAGCTAATTTTATCAAACACTTTTATCATATAAGCTAGCTTTTCAGCTATAAGCTCAAAAATTACTAATCAGCTATAAGCTAGCTTATCAACTATCAGCTAGCTAGGGCTGTTCAAAAGGTCAAAATCGAACCGAACCGACCGAAATTTCGGTTTACTCAACCTTCACACCGAACCAAACCTTATGGTTCGATTCGATTTTTAACCGAAAATTTATTAGTTGGATCTGTGCGATTATCAGTTATCCGATAAAATGGAGAAATGACAAATAAAAAAAACAATTTCTTAGTTACAATTCCAACAAATCTCAGCTCTAATTTTAGCAAATCACATCCAATTAACAAAAATAAATAAATAAATAATGAATTGTTTTTGAGAAGACGAGGTTCGTCGACAGCCGAGTGGAGTATATGCGGGAGCGCGTCGACATTTTGGAGTTTCAGAGCACCGAGCCCCGCGATCGGAGAATTGGAGTGCGTGATTGCATGCGGCCGGTGACTAAGATGATGTTAGGGTTTACTAGATTTCGACTTTTCGTTTAGACTTAAGATCTCTGGTCTAGACATTGGAGAAGGGAGATGACAAATGAAGAGAGGAGATAACGACAAGTCTGGACAAGTCTGGTCATTGGAGAAGGGAGATGACATATGAAGAGAAAAGATGATGACTAGTTGATGAGGAGAAAAAAAAAGAATGGGCTTATAAACTAATAATTAGTAATTTAGGAAAGAGTTGGATTGGGCTATGCTTGTGCCTGTTTTATTTCAATGCTTTTTAATATAAATGAGTTAAAAAGTAAAAACATGGGTTTGGGCGATATATAGATTTTATAACTTATATATAAAGTATTAGTTTTTGGTTCGGTTCGGTTCGGTTCGGTTAACCGAGCATTTATATCCAAACTGAATCGAACATCGAAATTTGAATACAATGCAAACTGAAAACCGAACTAGAAAATCAGTTGTAGTTTCGGTCAGTTAACCAAATTCTGTGCACCCCTTAGACTATGAGTTAGTTTTACCAATCAGAACTCAGTCACTAGCTGAGTCAAGTCAGGTAAGCAAGTGCTGAACAACCGATTTTCTCCACAACTCCGACTCAGTTTTCTTACACCCAAGAATAGGCTCTCCTCCACGTGTTGTATCTAAATTAACCGACCGGTAAAACTACTATGGCGGACCAATCGAGAACCGTCGCGGCTGCGAAGCAGCTGCCTGTCTGCGTGACCGGAGCCAACGGCTTCATAGGATCGTGGATGGTCAAAACCCTTCTCGAGCACGGCTACACAACCATCCACCTCTCCTTGTTCCCCGGCTCCGACCATTCTCACCTCTTCTCCCTCCCTGGCGCCGCCAGCCCCGCCGTCAGCCTGGTCGTGCACCACGCCGACCTCCTGGACGCTCCTGCCGTGGACAGGGCCGTGGAAGGCTGCGCCGGGGGCGGGATCTTCCACGTGGCGTCCCCGTGCACGCTCGAAGACCCCATCGACCCACAGGCGGAACTCGTGGACCCCGCCGTAAAGGGCACCCTGAATGTTCTCGCAGCCGCCAGGAAGTATAAGGTGCGGCGCGTGGTGCTCACATCCTCCATTTCTGCTATGGTGCCTAACCCGGGGTGGCCCATAGGCATGGTTGTTGACGAGTCGTCGTGGACGGATCTTGATTATTGCAAGCTGCGCCAGGTAACCTTTTTCTCAGTTTTACACTAATTCTAGTTTCAATTTCTATATGATTAAAGGCAGTGTGTTCAAATACTTGTGTATGTTGAATGAGTGATTCAAAGATACAAGCTCGAAACTTGTGTAATTATCAGATAGTTGTCAGTTCTAAATCTAATTAAATGAAGCCGAACTGTTTTGCTATGAACCCAACCGTCGGCTCCATAGTGGAACCAACCTTCTATATACAACAAATAAACATACCATATCATCTGATTATTTAAATAACACTAATATAATTTTATTAACATAGTAGGTTTATTTGTTGTAATATAGAAGGTTGATTCAAAATGGCTTTTATGCTTGTAGATGTTAGCATTTTATGCTTCAGTTTGGTGCTTTTCTTTCTTCTACAAAATGGCTCTGATTTTATTTTACATATATATATATATATATATTATATATATTGGATGAAGAAATTTTTTTATTGTGATCAGTTGGTCTCGTATGGAAACTACAAAAGTACAATTCAATATGATTTAAGGTTAGTAATATGTGAGTGAGTGTTTGTTTAATCGAATGTATGAAAAAAATGTGGTAATAATCTGAGATTTGATGATTTTTTGTTGAACTGATTGGTGCAAAGTATGTATAAAATGGGTGACAAGCACTTGAAAAAAAATCATTAAAATCTCACATTGGAGTAAGAGTTTCTCTACCTGAATGAAAAGATTAAGGTTTGCTAACCAACTGCAACCTAAAATGTCAATTTACCTTAAATTTGTTTACGGGAACAAATATGAAATTGACATTGTTCTAATTGGAACCTAATCCGCCATTTAATCTTTTTTATTAATTGCAAAATCTCGGAAATAAACATTGCTGAAGATCTTAGTGCACCAGGGTGAAATTTTACATGTGTTAGTATGTTGCGGTATCCCTGATTTAACATGAAAATACAACCACCCTGAGTACCTAAATGCAGATGGGACTTGCTTTTGTTTTGTTGTCATACCAAAAGGAGTGGTCTAAGTGATCTTATGCTCACAAATTTGATGAGTGTTTTGCTAAGATACAGATTCTGTGTGGTGGGTGCACAATAGTTGTTACCACTTGATATTCTTGGAATTTGATCCAGAAAATAATGCCAATCAAAAAATGTAATCGTTACTCTGATTGAACCAGGAAGTATTGGAGTTTCAGTCAGTTTGTTTCATTTGCTTATACATATGATCCAAACCGACCAGAAAGACATGGCATATCTGTTAGTATATGATGTGAACATGTAAGCTCGGAGCCATCTATCTTCAGTTTTTAAATTTGGTCATGATTTTTCATATGAATGAAATATCTGGGTAAGCCTTTCATGATCATCCTTTTTTGGGGAGTTGTGAGCATAAACGGAGCTGTTTTTGCTGCATATTTTTCTTGATGCTGTTTAAATTGATTAATAACTGAACTCTCAATCATACTTCCTATAACATGATCCAAGTTCAGACAAGTAAAGTGACTGATCTTCATTTTTATATGTTAGATTAAATTTCAAGCAATTAACAGTATTTAAATCCACCCATTGGTAAAAAAGCTCCTCCGTTCCAAAGTAATTGTGTTTTTTTTTATCTCTCCTTCTTTTGTGCGACCACAAGTGTGACATCGATATCAGCTCAGCGAAATAATGGCCGGGGAAGTAAAGTATGCAATGTGTGTAACAACACAAAATATGAGCGGAAGCGAAAATTAAAAAGTTTGTCTCGAGGGAGCGTCCCACTACCCTTTAGAGCTATTCCATTAGCAAATCAGTTGTCTCCCGCAGTATATAGTTTTGAATTACTAGTACAGGACTATTTCCTAAACCTACCAAAATTATACCTGATCCTACTAACTACTTCTCTGGACACAATGTGGACTAACAACTATTACAATAATCCGTCCAAACAATAGCCAAAAGTACAATGGTCCTATGTTTCAGTTTGTCAAAGATGATAAAACACAAAACTGAAATCCTGAATTCACAAAGTATAAAATATAATCTACAATTTCACGAACACTCAGAGAACAGACTAATGCTCATGAAAGAACAATAAAAACTCAGCTCTACTCTCTAGATTTCGTAATCTAATATATATATAAAAAAAAAGACAAATCCTAACTAGGTAAGGACACCTTGGATTGACGTGAACTTCAACATTCTTCCTTTAGAGTAACTTTCCTTCAAGTAGAATCTATGCATGTGATTTGAAATCAGAATTGCGTTTCCATAATCGTGTAGGAACACGACTTTCCTAGAATAGTCAATCTTCCAAATCTAAGAGCTTGCGGTGAATATTTTCAAATCCTCTTTAAATCTTCTTAAAATGTCCAGTATAGTATGGATTTTTCATTCTTTTATAATCTTTGCCACATATTATTTGTCTCTTGAGAGAACATATTAATTATGGTATAAAATCAAACTCTAGTGCAAGTAACTAATATGGTAAGTGAATATAAGATATATATTATGTAATCTTTCTTCTAAAAGGTTAATGACTCCACTGTATGTATAGTAAATATATACCATAAAAGTAGGAGAGGAGAGAGATGATGTGAAGTGATAGATAGTTAAAATTATGTGAGTGGATGGATAGTAAATTAAAGTTGATGTTATGTGTAAGAATGATTGGTTGGTATTATTTAATTATATTGATAATATTGAGGATAATGGAGTTGAGTTAAAATTGAATTAGATTTTGAGTATGAATTAAGTATGAAGTGAGTATTTTTATATACAAATACACCTAAGCATCCTATAGCATTTAGGACGCATATGAACAGAAATCACACAATAATGACATGACATGTAGGAATGAAATTTTTCACAATACGTTGACGATGTTCTTTCACAACCTTGCCATTATGGTTTGAACCTTGTTTAACAAAAGTTAGAAAGGGCTTACCTTTACTAGCTTTATCTTTTAGCTTTATCTTTCGGGCTAGGAGATTGGTTTCCGATACTTTTATCTTTCACTCGTTTGCTCATGTCTTGAACATTTGAGTAAAGAATTTTAGGCTTATTGATCAATATTGACCACCTATTCGATCCTTCTCAAGAGCTTTTCAATTTGAGTGTAATGGTACCCGTCCAAGTTCATGTTTGAGGGAAGCAATCTCAGAATCCCTTTCACCTATCATTCTCGGCCATGAAAACATTTCATTACGCAAAGATTCAATGACAAAATCCTTTTCATCACATACCTTCTTCGACAACTTATTTTTGTTTTCGAACATCTTGATTTTGGCAACACATTCGTCCAGCTCATGCTCATGCTTGCTGCTATGAATGTCAAATTTGGTCAGCTTATCGTTCAGTCTGACATTTATCACGTGAGTTTTCTGAAGTTCATCCGTCAAGTAGTCAATCTCTTTCTCATGCTCTGCGGAATGATATTGGAGCATATTTAGCTCCTTGACTTAAGCTTGTAGATTTTTCACCATTTGTCCAGCTTTGTAGCATATCTCTAATGCAAACTTATGGGTAGCCAAGTCTGCTTCAACATAATCTGTATCATCTCCAGAATCATCAAAATCACTTTGCGAATTATACGTGTAAAAACAAATATCTGAATAAGCATCAAAAGATTTCTTGTGGAGAGGACACACGACAATTGTTGGATTTATTGGTCGTCGTCGTCGTCGTCTTCATCATCATTCCACGTTCCCACGTGGCCTGATAGGTCTTGTTTTTCCACATTAAATTCGGAAAAGTATCCAAATCCCTTGCATTCACGACATTGATTCTTCTCTACATTTGATTCTAAGTCTTTTGAGAAGGTGTGTTGGAATTCTTGGGTTTAGATGGCCTTTCCCATTTGAGTTTTTGTACTTTCTTCAACAACTCATCAAATTTCTTGGAAAGAACCACATGCGCGTCATTAAATTTAGAATTTTTGAGTTGTTATACATAAAATTCTTCATCGTTGAACTATTTTGGAATATTAGCTTTTGAAGAGATGCATAATTTTCCATATCTAAGATCTGTGAGAATTTTGGGAATTTTCTGTAGTATATTTCTTAGCTCAAAATAAAAAATGAAAGATACAAAATGTCAGGGGTTAAAAACCCTTAGCTCACACTAAGCAAGACGAGGACACAAGCGTCCTTTCACAATAAAAGCTAAAACATAATGAAAAGAAACAAAGCACGAGTTTATAAGAAAAAAAACGCTTAGCAACTAATCAGCTGGAAAATATAAGAGAGAAGTCCATGCAGTCCACGTCCAACATGACCGCGTTCAACATGGCTCGATGATAGGCTAATCTCAACACCCCCCTCAAGTGGGAATGGGGGAGAAAGCACGCATTCCCAACTTGCCCAAGAAGTAGTGAAAATCACGACCACCAAGGGACTTAGTAAAATGTCCGCAGGTTGTGTAGAAGAAGTGATATGCTGTTGTGCAACAAAACCTGCCTTGAACATGTCCCTGACAACGTGGCAGTCGATATCCAAATGTTTAGTGCGCTCGTGGAAGACCGGGTTTGCTGTGATGTGTAGGGCCGCTTTGTTATCACACCAGAGAGGAATGGGAAGATGAAGAGATAAGTTGAAGTCAGCAGCTAAGTAAGAGAGCCATTTGAGCTCACAAACCGTGGTGGCCATAGAACGGTATTCGGCCTCGGCCGAGGACCGAGAAACTGTTTTCTGCTTCTTGGTTTTCCGGGAAATCAAAGCCTGACCAAGGAATACGCAATATCCAGTAAGTGATCTCCTTGTCAAGGTGCAGCTACCCCAGTCTGCATCACAGAAAGCTTCGAAGTGTGAAGTAGGCTGAGCTGCATAGAAAAGCCCCAAATATGAACAGCCCTTAAGATATCTCACTAGATGAACTGCTGAGGACCAATGAGCTTTGGTGGGTGAGTGCACAAACTGACTTAGTTGTTGGATAGCAAATGATATGTCAGGTCTAGAGGGATTAAGATATAACAGCCTCCCAACAAGCCTTCTATAGGCTCCTTCATCTGCCAATAATTCTGTATTCTGGGAAGAAAGGTTGATACCTTGTGGAAGGGGAGTTATCA